CCGGGAACGGCAGCCGGCACCGGGAGCGCCGGGAGGCGGAGGCGGCCCCGGGAGCGGGGCTGGGGGACCTGGGGCTGGGAGACCTCGTCCGTGTGGTGAGCGGGGACCCTGGGGACATCCCGGCTGTGATGGAGGCCGGGTGGGGCTGCATCCTTTGGGTGACCCTGGGGACCTCCTGGCTGTGATGGAGACAGGGATGGGATGCCAAGGTGACCCTGGGGACCTGCCGGGCTGGGGCTGCCAGGGTGGGGGGACATCCTTTGGGTGACCCTGGGGACCTGCGGGTGTGACGGAGGCCGGGCTGGGGTGACAAGGTGGAGCCACATCCCTTGGGTGACCCTGGGGACCTGCAGCCCACGGTTGGGAGCGTCCCCTGGGGTGGGGCCCCCCGACACCCACCGTGTTGGACGCCACCCTCAGGACTGTGACAATGCCACCTGCGTGGACATCACCTGCCACGTGGCCAGCCTGGGCAAGGACCAGCGGGCACTGGTCAGCGTCCACGCCCTGCTCTGGATGGACACCCTGCAGCAGGTACTGTCCCCTCCTGGGGACACAGGGTGGCACTGTGGCCTCAGGGCATCCCTGCAATGTCCCCTCCTGCACGGTGGTGCCCAGAGACCACCCTGGGGATACCATATGTGGGGTCATGGGTGTCCTGTGAGCTGGCAGCACCCCTGATGCCAGGTTCCCGTGTGTCCCCATGTGTCCCCATGTGTCCCCCTGCTGTTCCTAGCGGGAGCACCTCCGGGAATTCCGCATCCAGTCCCAGGCGTGGTTCAGCACCTCGGCCATGCCCTACCGCGTCCAGCCCCGGCTCCTGCCCAGCGGCCAGGCTGAGGTAGGGCTGCCGTGGCCGTGGGGACACGGGACAGGCCGCGGTGGCAGCGGTGTCACCTCCCCGTCCCTCTGCAGACCGAGACGTGCGTGGTGCGCGCCAGCCCCGGCGGCGAGGGGGCTGTGCCGGTGGGGTGGGTGGTGCTGGGGGTCCTGGCCGGGCTCCTGCTCCTCACCCTCCTCATCCTCCTCATGTGGAAGGTCAGTGGGGGCAGGGGGACACTGGGGACACCGGTGACATTTAGAGGGACCATGAAACATGGGACACAGTGCTGGGGCTGGGGGCTATGGGACACTGTGGGGTCGCAGGTGGGTGACACTGTGGCGTCCCCAGGGTCAGGGGGTCCCCGCGGTGGTGCCACAGGGATCTCCGGGGGGCTGATCCTGTGGGATCCCTGCCGCGGGGTCCCCCAGGGCCCGATGTCACTGTGTCCCCTTGCAGATGGGTTTCTTCAAGAGGACGCGGCCGCCGGCCGAGGGGGACACGGAGGAGCCGGGCCAGGCCCAGGAACCGGGCAGTGCCCAGGAACCGGGCCAGGCCCAGGACTAGCGGGGTCCCCTCCGTGCCCCCCTCACCCCGCTCTCCTTTCTCCTTCCCCATCCTCCCCCGTGCCCGTGAGACCCCGGCCCCGCTCCGCTCCCCCCGCACAATAAATCCCGGCCCTGCCCTCGGTGCTGCCCTCGGCTGTGGTTGTGTCCCCCCGGAGCTGCACCGGGGTCTGCAGGGAGGATTTTGGGGACCCCCGTGTGTCCTTGTGGGGTGCCCCGGGAGGGCAGTGAGGAGGTTGGTGCCGGGCTCGGTCCCGGCGCTGCTGCACTGCTGGGGGATCGGTACCGGGGCCGGCGCTGGTACCGCGGGTGGGTCACGGTACCGGGGTGGCACCGGGGGATGGGGGCAGTGCCAAGGGCCAGTCCCGAGGTGTCGCTGCGGTACCGGGGCTCGATGCTGAGGCTCAGGGAAGTACCGTGAGCGGGTCCTGGGACGCCGGTGCCTCTACAGGGCAGTACCGGGATGCCGGTGCCGGTACAGGGCAGTACCGGGATGCCGGTGCCGGTACCACGTCCCCGTCCCGGGGCTCAGAGCGGAGCCAGGAATGGGTCCCGGGAGGCCTGTGCGGTACCGGGGGCAGTGCAAGGCTGCCGGTGCCAGTACCGGAGGGAGCCCGGCAGCGCCGAGTCCCGGTCCTGGTCTCGGGGCCGTACCGGGGATGGGTACAGCGGGTCGGGATCGGTACCGGGGGCGGTGCCGGGGCCCGAGCAGTGTCAGAGGTGGATCCGGGGGTCGGTGCCGATGTCGGGGGCGGGTTCTGAGATGCCGCTGCCGACACCGGGGTCAGTCCCGGGATGCCGGTACCGGGTCCGGGTCTGGGTCCCGGAGCGGTGCCGGGGAGCGCTGCCGGTGTCGGTTGCGGTACCGGCGACGGGTCCCGGCTCCCGGGCACCGCAGGGGGCGGTGCCGGAGCGCTGGGGCGGTGCCAGGGGCTGGTCGGGGGTCTCGGGGCGGTGCCGGGGGTGGTCCCGGTGCCGGGGCGGTGCCGCTCCGGGGGTGGGCGCTGGGCGGCCGTGCCCGGCGGCTCCGGCAGGTGGAGCCCGGTCCCCGCGGCGGGCGGGCGGACGGGCCGGGCGGGCCGGGCATGGCGGGGTAACGGCGCGGAGCCACCATGCGGCCCCGCCGCCTCCTGCCGCCGCTGCCGCCGCTGCCGGTGCTGCTGCTGCTGGCGGCCGCGGGCGGGCGGCGGGCGCGGGGCGCGGCGGAGCCGGGAGCGCACGGTGAGAGCGGCCTTTGTGTGCGGGGCGGGGGGCGCCGCCGGCAACACCCCCGCGTTCTCCCCGCGCCCGCGTCCCCCCGGCATCCCTCGGCCCCCACCCCCTGCCCCGCACCGCCCCGGCCCCACCGGCGCCCCCGGGCCCGCCCGAGCCCCGCGCCCGCATCCCCCCGGCATCCTTTGAATCCCGTGGCCCCCCCGCGCACCGCCCCCCGATCGATCGATCCCGGCACCGGCCCCCCCCAACCCCGCATCACCCCCGCCCCGGCTCCCCCGGCTCCCTTGGCTTCCGAACCCGCTCCCGCCCCCCGCCCCAAAGCCCCCCGCGCCCCAAAGCCCGGCCCCGCCCGGCTCCGACACCCCCATCCCTGCCCGCCCACCCCCCGTCCATCCCCGGCTCTGTCTGTCCGGCCGCACCCCCGTCTGTCTGTCCGTCTGTCCGTCTGTCTCTGGGTCCCCGGGCGGTTCTGGCCACCGGCGGGAGGGCGGTGATGGGTGGGGGGCCTGGCAGTGCCAGGGGGTCGCGATGGTGGGTGGGCGTCACAAACCAGGGAGGGGGTGAAGGAAGTTGGGTGGGGATCGCGGGCAGAACTTTGGGGTGCGGGAGGGTGGATGGGGGCGCTGAGCAGAGCTTGGGGGTGTCTGGTGGTGGGTGCAGGTCCCGGGTCAGGGGGTGCAGGGGATCCTGAGCAGCAGCCGGGGGTGCAGGATGGGGGTGGGGGGTGCATCCGGCAGGCACGGTGGGCCTCGGGGTCCCCTGTGACCCCCCATGCACCCCACACCCTCCTGTGCCAGGGTGAGGCGTGCCCGGGGGTCACGGGGGGGGTCCCTGACCCGTCTGTCTGTGCTGGCTCAGCTCCCGCTGGCGTCACCCCTGCCCATCCCTGTCCCCGCGGGGTGACAGACACGGCAGCGCTCCTCAGTGCCACCCCAGGACCTGGCACCCCCGCCCTGCTCACGGGACACCGGGGTCACACCGGGGGGCACTGGGGGGCCAGCGAGGGGCCGGTGCACCTCGGGGTGGCCGCAGCACCCTTGGGGACCCTTTGGTGGCGGCGGGGGGACAGAGAGTGGGGACGGGGCGATGCCTGTGCTGTGTCCCCGCGCTGGGGCTGGCACCACGGCCCCCTCCCATGCCAGCTGTCCCCGGCAGCTGCGGGTGCCGGCTGTCCCCGCCATGCAGGGGACACCCCCAGCCCCTCCATTCCCGAACCCGCCCCTGTGCATCCCCGGAGCAGCTGCTGCCAATCTCCCCCCACTCCTCGCCCATTGCCACATCTGGGTCGGGGCGGGTCGGGGGGGGTGCCCGGTGGAGCGGGGGGCTCCGGGGCTGCGGGGGGCCCGGCGGCAGCCCCGGGGCGCGGGATGAAGGGATGAAGGAGGTCGTTGCCTGGGTGACGGCGCCGGAGCCGGGACCGCTGCCAAGGGCTGCGGATCATGCGCGGGATGGCGCCGGCTCGGGGGGGCCGGGGGCACGCGGGGGTTTGGGGTCCCCCCGCCCTCCAGCCGGGCCCTGCAGCGGGGAATGGCCGGGGGGATCCCTCCCCCTGCTGCTGTGGGGCCGGCTGGGTTCCAGACCCCCTGGCCTTGGGATGGGAGTGAGCATCACCGGGGGGTGGCCTTTGGTGGGGGGGGGTGAGGGTGATGTGACTGGGTGCACCCAGCCGGGTGGCACGGCATCAGGGGGGCACAGGGTGGGCACAGCAGTGATGCTCACACGCCTTTGGGATGGTGCCTGCTGCCTGCTGGGGAGCACCTGTGACCTGCCAGGTGGTGCTGCCTGTGACCCCCGTGGGTGATGACTGTGACCTGCTGGGCATGCTGGGCACTGGGATGGGTCCCACCACCTGGCCACCACCACCAGGATGGTGGCCATGGCTTTCTGAGATGGCATCTGTGACCTGTTAGGGTTGGTCCCACCATCCCGCCTGGATGGTGACTGTAATCCAGTGGGACAGGTCCCACCACCTGCTGGAGTGGTGACCATCACCCAGCAGGATGGTGACTGTGATGGTGGCCATGAGCCCCCTGGGATGGTGCCCATGACACCCCTGGGATGGTGGCCGTGACTCCCTGGGATGGTGGCTGTAAAACCACTGGGATGGTGCCCATGACCCCCTGGGGTGGTGGCCGTGACTCCCTGGGATGGTGCCCATAGCCCCCTGGGACATTGGCCATGCAGGACGGTGTCTGTGACCCCCAGTTTGTGTCCCACCCTGCTGGGATGGTGGCCATGACCCCATGGGATGGTGCCCATGAACCACTGGGATGGTGGCCGTGACCCTCTGGGATGGTGGCCATGACCCCCTGGTTTGGTGACTGTGGCCCCCTGGGATGTTGGCTATGCCTGCTGGGATGGTGGGCATGAACCACTGGGATGGTGGCTGTGACCCCCCTGGGATGGTGGCCATGCAGGACAGTGTCTGTGACCCCCCAGTTTGTGTCCCACCCTGCTGGGATGGTGTCCATGACTCCCTGGGATGGTGCCCATGACTCCCTGGTTTGGTGGCTGTGATCCCCTGGGATGGTGGCTGTGACCTTCAGTTTGTGTCCTACCGTGCTGGGATGGTGGGCATGACTCCCTGGGATGGTGTCTGTGACCCCTGGGTTTGTGGCTGTGAACCCTTGGGATGGTGTCTGTGACCCCTGGTTTGTGTCCCACCCTGCTGGGATGGTGGGTATGATCCCCTGGGATGGTGGCTGTGCCCTCTGGGATGGTGCCCACGAACCACTGGGATGGTGCCCATGAGTCCCTGGGATGGTGGCTGTGACCCCTTGGGACGGTGGCTGTGACCCCTGGTTTGTGTCCCACCCTGCTGGGATGGTGGCCGTGCCCTCTGGGATGGTGGCCGTGACTCCCTGGGATGGTGACTGTGACCCCATGGGATGGTGGCTGTGAACCACTGGAATGGTGTCTGTGACCCCTGGTTTGTGTCCCACCCTGCTGGGATGGTGGCCATGACCCCGTGGGACAGTGCCCATGAACCACTGGAATTGTGGGCATGATTCCCTGGGATGGTGGCTGTGACCCTCTGGAATGATGGCTGTGCCCCATGGGACGGTGTTTATGACCCTGGTTTGTGTCCCACCCTGCTGGGATGGTGGCCATGACTCCCTGAGATGGTGGCTATGCCCCTAGGGATGGTGTCTGTGACCCCCTGGGACAGTGGCCGTGTCCCCTGGGACAGAGTCTGTGGGCTGTGCCCTCTGGAATGGTGACTGTCCTCCCCCCACCCTGTCCCCCATGCCCACGCCGTGTCCCTGTGCCGTGTCCCCAGAGGTGCTGCTGCGGGTGCAGGTGTTGGAGAGCGGCTCGCTGGCCCCGCTGCCGCAGGCGGCCCTGGACGTGTTCGGCGGCCGCTCGGCGCTGGCCGCGGGCAGCACGGACCAGGCGGGCTCGGCGGTGCTGCCCGTGCCCTACCGCCTGGGCTCCTGGCTGCTCGTCACCGCCGCCCGCCGCGGCTATGTCACCGCCTCTGTGCCCTGGCGTGTCACCAAACTGCCACGTGAGTCACCGAGCCCTGAGCCCTCCTGGGCTGGGGGTCCCCTGTCCCTTACTGGGGTGTCTGGGACTGTCTGGGGGTCCCCAATCCCTTACTGGGGTGTCTGAGACTGTCTGGGGGGCACAATCCCTTCCTGAGCCATGATGGGGGATCCCCAATCCCTTCCTAAGGGGATTTGAGCCATGATAGGGGATCCCCAATCCCTTACTGGGGTGTCTGAGTCTGACTGGGGGGCACAATCCCTTCCTGAGGGATTATTTTAGCCATGATGGGGGATCCCCAATCCCTTCAAAAACCATGATGGGGGAATCCCCAATCCCTTCCTAAGGGGGTTTGAACCATGATAGGGGATCCCCAGTCCCTTCCTGAGCCATGATGGGGGATCCCCAATCCCTTCCTAAGCCATGATGGGGGATCCCCAATCCCTTCCTAAGCCATGATGGAGGATCCCAAATCCCTTCCTGAGGGTTCTGGGTCTGATTTGGGGTCCTGAATTCCCAACTGGGGGGCTCTGAGCCCTGGTGTGGGGTTCTTATTCCCTCACTGGGATCTCAGTCCCTTCCTTACAGGAGACCCCTAATAGGTTTCAATGTAGGGATCCCTTATAGAAAAGTGTTTGGGAGGGGTCTGGCCCCTTTGGGAGGGGACAACCATGTCCTGGTGGCCCCCAAGTATTTTGGGGTCCAGGTGTGGGTATTTTTGGGCTCCAGGTGTGGGTATTTTGGTGTCCATGTGTGGGTATTTTGGGGGTCCGGGTGTGGGTTTTTTGGGGGGCCAGGTGTGGGTATTTTTGGGCTCGATGTGGGTTTTTGGGGGTCCAGGTGTGGGTATTTTGGGGGTCCGGGTGTGTTTTTTTGGGGGTCCGGGTGTGGGTATTTTTGGGGTCCAGGTGTGGGTATTTTGGGGTCCGGCTGTGGGTATTTTGGGGTCCATATGTGGGTATTTTTGGGTTCCAGGTATGGGTATTTTGGGGGTCCAGGTGTGGGTATTTTGGGGGTCCATATGTGGGTATTTTGGGCTCCAGGTGTGGGTATTTTGGGGGTCCAGATGTGCGTTTTTGGGGCTCCAAATGTGGGTTTTTGGGGGTCCGGGTGTGGGTATTTTGGGGGGCCAGGTGTGGCTATTCTGAGGTCCAGGTGTGGGTATTTTGGGGTCCAGATGTGTGTTTTTGGGGGTCCAGGTGTATTTTTGGGGTCCAGATGTGGGTATTTTGGGGGTCTGGGTGTGGGCATTTTAGGGTCCATGTCTGGATATTTTGGGGTCCCCCCCGCACCCTGTCTTCCCCTTGCAGTCTACGCCTCCATCAGCCTCTACCTGCTCCCGGAGCGCCCGGCCACGCTTATCCTCTACGAGGACCTGGTCCAGATCCTGCTGGGATCCCCAGGTGAGACACGGGGGTGTCCCTGGGTGCCACCACCGGCCGAACCACGGGGACGGCGGCGGTGACACCTCCATCCCCCGGGTGCTGCCACCCTCCGTGTCCCCGCAGGTGGCCGTGGGCAGCCGTGGGCGCAGTTCCCCCGGCGGGCAGCCCGCCTGCCCCGCAGCTCCACCTACAGCCAGCTGGCCGCGTCCCTGACGGCCGCCTCCGGCCCCGGCCCGGCCCGCGCCTTCCCCGCCTTCCTCGGGGCCGAGCAGGACGGCAGCGGTACGGGGGACACCGGGATTTGGGGTGGGGGGCGCACCGTGTGTGCCACCCCTTAGGGATGTCGCTGTCCCCCAGGCAATGGCACGTGGCTGGAGCTGGCGCCGGTGGCGGCTGTCAGCGTCCATCTGTTCACCGGCAACGGGACCGAGGTGCCGCTGGCCGGCCCCGTCCATCTGTCCGTCCCTCTGGGCCCCGACGCCGCGGCCGTGGTGGCCACCAGTGTGCCAGCCTGGAGGTTTGACCCCAAGAGCGGTGAGTGGTGGCTGGAGGTGGCAGAGGGGACACAGCTCCTGCTGGGGGTGACAGAGGTGACACAGCTCCTGTTGGAGTGGCAGAAGGGACACAGCTCATGCTGGGGGTGACACAGAGGGGACACAGCTCCTGTTGGGGTGGCAGAGGGGACACAGCTCATGTTGGGGTGGCAGAGGGGGACACAGCTCCGGCTGGGGGGGGACAGAGGGGCACACAGCTGTGGCTGGGAGTGGCAGAAGGGACACAGCTCATATTGGAGGTGGCACTGGGGGACACAGATCCTCTTGTGGGGTCGGGGGGTGATGAGGTGGGGGATCCCATCCCGGTGTGTCCCCGCAGGGCTGTGGGTCAGGAACGGGACAGGGCTGATCCGCAAGGAGGGCCGGCAGCTGTACTGGACCTTTGTCTCCTCCCAGCTGGGATACTGGGCAGCGGCTCTGCCCTCCCCCAGCACGGGTAAGGTGACACCCGTGAGTGCCCTGTGTCCCTTGGCCCTGGGGACAGGCTGGATGGGGAGGGGGCGGCAGCACCTTGGGGTGCTTCCCTCTCTGCCCCCCCTGTCCCAGGGCTGCTCTGGTGGGGCGGGGGCTGTCCCATGTCCCTTGTCCCCAGGGCTGTCTGGGCTGGGGGGACACTGCAGCCCCCCGGGGTACCCTCAGGGGGGGATCCCACTCTGACCCTGCTGTCCCCAGGGCTGGTGGCAATGGCAGCGGGTGTGACAGACATCACCACTTACCACACCATCTTCCTCCTCACCATCCTGGGTGCCCTGGCCCTGCTCGTCCTCATCCTCCTCTGCCTCCTCATCTACTACTGCAGGTCAGTGTCCTGCCCGTGGCACGGGGGTGGGAATGGGGGTCAGCACCCACCTGTAACCCCAGGGGGACCATTTCCTGGCACCCTAAAACTGGTTATAGGAGGGGCAGCATCCTCCAGGTACCCCTGGGTGCCTCATATCTGCCTTTGGGAAGGGGGGCACTACCCCAAGGCACCCCTAAATGCCCTAAAGTTGACTATGGGGAGGAGGCACCAGCCTGTGGCACCCTTGAGTGCCCTGTAACTATTCTGGGGGAGTCACCACCCCTTGGAACCCCCAAATGCCCTCTAGTTGGCTACAGCGAGGAGGCACCAGCCTGTGGCACCTCTGGGTGCTTTTTGGCTGGATTTGGGAGCCAGACACTGATCTCCAGAAACACTGGGTGTCCTACAGCTGGCTTGGGAGGGGGGACACCACTCCCCAGCACCCCTGGGTTTCCTAAAACTGGATTTGGGGGTGACACAGGGGTGTCACAAGGGACACAGTGTTGACACCCAGCACCCCTGGGTGCCCTATAATTGGATTTGGGGGGTGACACAAGGTGTCACAGGGAACACAGGGGTGACACCCAGCACCCCTGGGTGCCCTATAACTGGATTTGGGGGGTGACACATCACTCCCCAGCACCCCTGGGTGCCCTATAACTGGATTGGGGGGGTGACACAAGGGTGTCACAGGGGACACAGGGGTGACACCCAGCACCTCTGGGTGCCCTGTAACTGGATTTGGGGGGTGACACATCACTCCCCAGCACCCTGGGTGCCCTATAGCCCCCTCCTCTAGCTCCTTCCAGGGGCTGAGGGAGTTGGGGAGCAGGGGCACCCACGACCCGCCGTGTCCCCGCAGGCGGCGCTGCCTGAAGCCGCGGGCTCAGCACCGCAAGCTGCCGCTGCCGGGCCCGCTGGACGCGGCGCGCCGGGACCAGGCCACCTCGGTGTCCCAGCTGGACCTCCTGTGCGGGGGCAGCCACCTGGAGACCGCCTCCTCGGGGGGCGACACCGACCTGCCCACGCCCAGCCTGGCCCCGTCCACCCGCGAGCTGCCCCCGGCCCGGCCGGACTTCTTCCAGCCGCCGGCCCCGGCCCCGCTCCGCGCAGGCCTCAGGCCCCCGGCGGCCACGCTGGGCCCGCGCCGCCGCCCGCCCGCCGCCCATGAGGACTACGGGCGCTCCGGCGAAGCCTTCGGCCTCAGGGCCGCCCGCTCGGTGGACGGGCTGCAGCCGCCCGACGAGCACCCCCGGGGCACGGCCGCCTTCGGCCCGCGGCCGCCCTCGCCCTCGTTCTCCCGTTACGGGCCGCAGCCCGCCGAGCACCCGCTGCCCGAGCCGCCCCCGCGGCCGCCCTCGCTGGCCCCCCCCGGGCCGCTGCTGCTCTGCGGGCCGCTGGAGCGCGGCGGGGGCCCCGAGGATGTTTACCGGGGGGTGATGCCCACCCTGCTCATCCCCGCCCGTTACATGCGCCTGGCGCCCGGCGAGCCCGAGGGTCCCCCCGAAGCCGACGGGGGCCCCGGTTCGACGGCGGCGACGGCCGCGCCCCCGCCCCCCCCCTCCTCCGGGCAGCCCTTCGAGGAAGGGGAAA